GGGTGGGGGGCAGGGGGGCGGGGGGCCTGTAGCCTTGCAAAGGCATGTTGCCGGGGAGAGGGAGCGTGTGGCTGGCAGAGGGACCGATCACCCCCTATGGTGCTGCCGTAGACAACAGGCCAAGTAGTGCTAGGAGCCCCCGTCCTGCAACTTTGCACGAGGAGTCACTGGGGCTGGGGGCGAGGGTGGTGAGGGGAGGGTCAGAACTTTATTGGATCGGGCCGTGGAGTCGCCTGCCCTGCAGTGAGCACAGCCCCCTGTGACTCTTCCATGCAAGCAGAGAGGAGCGATTGCTCAGAGCTAATTCACCAGGCCAAGGCGGGGGGCGGGGGAAGAAGGAGGAATGGTTCTTGCACAGCCAGAAAGTGAGTTTGGGGGGGCGGTGGGGGACGTAGAGGTCGGGGGAGAGCAGGAACTTTGCAGCTAGACGTGAAACGCCAATAGACGGGGTGGGGGGGGATCTGCAGCTGCTCAGTCACACCCCACTTTGGGGGGGGATATTTTGTGGCATTTTGCAACAATGGTGATGGCTAAACGAGCAGGCCAAATGCTGGGAGCTGCTGGGGCATCGGGCAGGGGGCATCCGCAGGGGGGGCCGGGAATGAGCTCTAACCTGGGCCAGCCGCATGCTGGGAGACACCCGGATCGCCTCCTCGCAGAGCGGATACACTGGAGGGGGCTCGGGGTGAGCGTCGTAATTTGGAGAGGGCTTCCAGTGCCTGCGCAAGGACACTTTATAACTCCCGAGCTGCAGCGAGATTGAGCCGTGGCTTGGAGTTTTCAGGCGAGTCATCGGTTGTGGCTTCTCAGGCGTTTGGGTTTTGTTTGTTTACTTGTGTTAAGGGAAACAAAATGACCACAGACATGCACGATCCCCAAGGCATGGACAGGAGCAAAAGAAGGCGAGGAGAGGCACTGGCACTAACATGGCAAAGGCGTCACAGAAGCAAACATGGCAAAGAGCCTGTAAAGACTTTAGCTATTCAGTTTTAGGAAATGGGATAGAAAATATTCTTAGATGTCTTCTATTTGTCCAGTCCTCCATTTTACCCAAACATTGAAAAAAATGGCATATTTGATACTCCCAAGGTGGGTTTTAGAATGATTTAAAACAAACAAAATCCTGGCAGAAATAACTCTATGACTTTTTTTTGTTATTGTAAATTATTCCCTTCCCCAGCCCCCAAAGACCTGATCCTGGAAAATAAATGTATTTCAGTGGGTGGCAGGCATTCATAAATGTGGCATAAAATTAAGTGATTGTGTAATTTCTCATGGAGGTGATTTCTTAAAAGAGAATTTTCATGAGAGCCTAAGGGAGTTAGGTGCTTAAATCCCAATCCTTTTTTTACATTCCTTTCATCTCTTTAACTGAATTATTTAATCTATATAGTGTGCAGATTTTTGTCTGCACTTTCCAACTATTTTGTCCTCCAGGAGTTTACAGAGGTGTGTCTATTTTTCCAGTTATTGTGATTCTTTACATAGTTTGTTTTGTGTGTTTGCTATATATTGTGCTTTTTTGGGTGAAGTTGGTGATAAAATGTCTACTTTCTAAATCCTGATTTTTTTTTTCTTAAGGCTAGTTGTATCATATATGTTTTGTTTGCAAGTTATATTTCTTTCCCTTGATTCTTTTTTTATTGTTGTTTTTTGTTATAGACAAAAGATTTCCACTTCTTGAAATCAGAAAGATTTGCGGAATTTGGTTGGATTTGGAAAGATTACAAGTCCTTCAGAACTCCATCCTGAGTCTTTTCTGAATTGCTCCAGACACTATGGATTTTATTAAGATGTCCTGCAAGGTAGGAACTTCTAGTTCTTCATTTTTAAACTGGTACCTTGTTTACAAACTTTTGTTCAATACAAAAATGCCTGAATTATGAAAAGCACCATGATAGTTGAGGTCTTTGTTTAGAATTCTGATGGTACCATTTATTCTCAGGAGAGGTTTAAAATCCAGGACCTCTTTAACACTTTCGTGAAACATAATTAACCAAAAAAGGAACTCCAGGAATACAGCTCAATACAGAAAGTGAACTTTTTAGATTTGGGCTCTCTGAGGAAGAAAATAGGTGATGTAAAATTGGAAAAAATACAATTAATTTCTGGAATTTTTATTTTTTTAAATATATATGAAACTTATTTTGAATTTGTATATGTATTTTAAGTGTGAATATAATATTAAAAAACCTATTCATTTATACTAATAACTATAATTTTAGGTGAGTATTTCAGGATCATTCAGCATGGTACCAGAAATGCTTTATCAGCTTTTGACACTGTCTCCTGATGTAGTGTACTTGGGAGGTCACTGTATGTTGTAAACAGGAGCGGCCCTAGACGAGCTGCTGGCAACTGGCGCCTTAGGCGAAACGTGCAATCGGCACCCCTGCCTCCAAAGCCCTCAACGGCCATTTATCTTGGCGCCCTAGGCGACTGCCTAGTACGCCTGTATTGACGGGCCGCCACTGGTTGTAAACTAGAAGTTGGGTAGTTCCTACTGAAAATGTGGGACCCAAGTAACTTCCTTAATATTTTAATCATTCACAGAATTGGTAGAAATTATTTTCCAGGGTGTAAATCAATTCAATCTGAAAACCTGACAAAGAGGACCAGAAAATCTATCTGGAGGTTTCCAAATGCATTAGAATTGTCACAGTAGCTCTATCCTGTCAGCGCCACTCGGATTGTATGAAGCTATAACCTGCTGCTACCAACCGTATTGGGTTTTTTTGTGTCTTTTGTAAACACTTGATAGGGCTTGATGAGGTCAACACTTTATACAGAAGACAGAATATTGTGAGTACATTTGAAACATTTTAGAAATTATGAAGAAAAGGAGCACATCTACTGAGTCCCATCTAGTATATTTTAATGCAGTCCCCATCACTCCAGTTAGTGCAGGACAGATCCTCAAGGTATTTTGTCTAATACTTTGTCCAGCCTACTTTTAATTGACTCATTGAATAGAGCATTCACAGCTTCAGTCTGTCTAATCTCACCATTAAGAAACACTTTCTGATATTCTACTTCCCCCTCCCTTTTAGATTCATTCTACTGGTCCAAGGTTCCATTTTGAATAACCCCCAAATAATGTATCTTTTCTTGTTGTGTACACCCCTGAAATGCTTGTATATGGCTGCCATATTCTCTTTGCTCTGTTTACGTGGATCCTAATATTGTTACACGTGCTTATAATTTTGCATGCATCTGTCAGCATGGTTTAGTGTACTCAGCATTGGCATAGGAAATCTTCTAGTTACTATTTGTGGTGGATAAGTTATTTCAACTCTCTGTGCCTTGTTTTTTCCGTCTCTAAAATTAGGATAATATTGATATGCCTGAAAAAGGAGTTGAGGATTAGCTGATGTAGGTACGCTGATTTTGGGAGAAGCATTATATAAGTAGTAGTGATTATTACAATGTAGAATTGTATAGATTTGGCCAAGCTGTATGCATTTAATAGAAATCAAAAAGGGCAACGGTCCTAAAAGAAGACAGGGTCACAATCCCTTGCCATACTAAGTATTTTTCTTGGTTGTTATGAAAGCCAACTCCCTCCCTCCTAAATTATACCGGCCAAATGAAAGACCCTTCCTTCAGTGAGATTGCAGAGGATGGAATTTACAAGCAGTTCTGTTACAGAATATAAAATATCCTCTAGGCAAATTCACACTAGTTATGCTGACCAGATGGTCATCATAATAGTGATATCCTGTGATGTGTTAGTGATATCCTGTGATGTGTTAGTGATATCCTGTGATGTGTATTTACAACATTTTCACCATCTTCATCAATTTAATACTGTTTATGTTAGTTCTCTGCTACAAGTTTTGGAGGTTGCTGCTACATTTTAGCAATATGCAATTTTTTTCCCCCAGAGATGCTGTGCTCCTGTAACTTCTTTTGATGGCAACGATATTTGCACGGCACCTATGAAAAACATGGCCTATATGTGTTTGGAAAATATATTTAAAAAGACTAACTAATCATGAAATTGCCATACATTAATTAATGGATTAAGTAGGCAAGAGTTTTTCATAGGTATGTAATGGACTTTGATAACCTGGGACACCTTATAACTAGGGATGAAAGTGAGTATTTGACTACTCGCTTCCCCCACACGCCCAAAGGGAGGGGAAGCAGGAGCCAGAGCCTCATCCCCTGCTGCCTCTCTATGAGAGACAGGAAGGGGGCGGGGAAGCAGGAGCCAGCTGAAAAACCGGTTTCCCCCCAGCACTGTCTCTGCGATGCTGCCCATTCCCCCCTCGCTGCTGCCTCTGTTAGAGGCAGTGGGGGGAGGGGAAGGGGCTGCTGTTGGTAAGCAGCCTCTGTCTGTGGGGGTCCCAGCTGCTTGCTGGGACTCCTTCTGGACAGGGGCTGCAGGATCCAGCAGGAGCTAGGACTGAACAGTCCCGGCTTGTGCCGAGTCCAGAAGCTACTGCTGCTGCAGCTCTGCAGTTTAAGTGTAGTAAGAGTTGGGCATGCAGGCAGCATTTAAACTACAAAGATGCAATGGGGGTAGCTTCTGGTCCCAGCACGAGCTAGGACTGAGGAAGCCTTCCCGTATTGACTAAACTGTGTAGTTAATAACATTTTTATCGGCTACACAATTAGTGGATTACCCGCCCCTTAACATTCTTGCTTATAACATTTAAAAGCAGTCAGCCTTATGACTGGAGACTTACAATATCTACTAATGATATCACACTTAAGTTTATTTTTTAAATAACTTACTCTCTGCATCTAGTGTTCTGACTTAAAACATATATTAACTAGCTATGCTTCTCCACCTGGAAATCAGGAAGAAAAGTGAAGAGTAAACTATAAGTAGATTCTGGCTAGTTTCATTTCTAATATTGGGACCCATTTGGCTTCAGTGAAACCAACAAACCATGTCAATTTCATACAGCTACTTGGAAAAATTGTTAAAGAGCACCAGAGCTGTTTTTGGCTGAGAGAAAACCAAAAAATGAATTTTATGGAAAGGGTAGAGTAATGAAGGCAACCTGCCTTCAGTAGAATCAGGAAGCTGTGAGAATCAGGTAGGCGAGACATGGGGAGAATGAATTGTTTCTACCTTCCAGTAGTCAGAAGGGTCTAGGTGAGAGGATGTGTTTGAAGCACGTGGTTCATTTGATCAGATATTTACTACCTGGAGGATAATAGCAATTATAGCTCTTCAAGAAGGATCCAAGCGCAGCACCTTATTAAGACTTTCAGCACATTCCTAGCATTTTTGGAAAGGGTCTGGGCTTCTCAGCAAGGGGATAATCCTGCAATTAGCTGAGGGTAAGGATTGTCCCTGCTCCACTTCTCTTTTGTGTTGGTGCTGGCTAGTGGTTCCAGTTCTCTGTTAGTTGGTATCTGATAAAGCTTTTGTGTCTAGTCACGATTGCTTTATTCTCTCAATAAATGATCGGTTTCCCTAAACTTGTATTGGGATATAACAAACGAATGCAAAATCCTTGCATACAGTGCAAATGTGAGTGTAGAAGATTACATCATCCTTAAGCATAGCTGCCAAGTTTAGCGTCGCTCCTTATGTGAGATTTCTTATAGCTCACGCACATGCATGCCAGCAGAAGGGCGGTTTAGCCACGCAGAACTTGAGTGTCCGGTCCCTCACTCCCAAGATCAACAGCAGTAGCAGCAGAAAGAAAGATGAAATAGTGTGACTTTATGCATCTGATGAAATAAAAGCCGGTTCCCCCCCAGCACCTTCTTTGGAGTGTCGCCTGCTCCCCCCTGCTGCATCTATCAGAGGCAGTGAGGGAGATAGGGGAGGCT